CATTGTACAAGTGCTAAGTGTAGAATGGTGAAAACCTAATCCCAGGGTCCCCACTTTTTAAAATCACACCCAGTCCAAATCAAAGTGAATTAAATGCTGGTGGAAGGTGCTAGATTGACAATCCTGGATTGTGAAGTCCCAACTTTAGTCTTGGATCAGTTACAGAACAGACAATGGCAGTGCAAGCTTGACCACCCACCCCACCCCACCACTGTGTCTGAGCCTCAGGGACCACTGCTAGTCGTCTCTATTCCCATTCAGTTCCTGGTCTCTCGCTAAGAAGAGTGGAAGTTGCAAGGATGATTTTTGGGACACAGACACTTGCTGGGTTATATTATTCTGTTATTCATATAGTGCCAAACATTTGCTTGCGTGTTTTAAAGATAAGTACAAGGATGAGGACCCTGCCTTGAGTACCAAGAACTGAACTGAACCAACCACTTACTTATTTCAAAGTCTGTCTCATAATCAACAATTTTCAGTCACTGGGCTACATTCTTGGACACTGTGTGCCAGTACCAATCCGCTGAGTTATTCCACCCCACAGCTCCCCGGTGCTTTCGTAGTAGTGATCCATTAGAACCTGCCCCCTTGGATATACGCTGTGGGTATGTGTCTCTGTGAGTATGTCTACACTGCAATAAAACACCTGTGGCTTGCCTGTGTCAGCTGACTCAGGCTCACAGGGCTATAAAAATGCAGTGTAGACAGAGGAAGTGGGGCCAGGTCTTCAACTGATGAAAACTGACTTAACATCATTGATTTCATTTACATAAGCTAAGAATGTGGTCCTGATCTCCACAATGGCTAAGCAATACATGTCAACTAATTTGTAATTTTTCTTTCTGAACCTACATTAAACAAATCCATTTTTTAAATCAGTGGCAGATTTACCAGACTCAGAAGGATCTTGCAGAAGCAGAAAAAAAAGAGGATTAAGAGAGACAGAAAGGCATGTGTAATCAGAAGCCACCAGCATGATGGCTGGGTTTTCAACTGTTAAGATAAATGGAAACCCCGTGTAGATTTTAAAAAGGAAACATATAACATGCTGGACTTTCAAATTGCTTGGCCTCATCTTCTGTACAAGGTATTATTGTGAAGATGCAGTGGCCTAAAACAAGTAGAATGGGTGTAAATGTTACCATTTGAGGTAGGCGAAGTTTTTCAGCCAAAATTTTTTTTCACTGAAAAATACAGACTTGGCCAGCTGAAACATTTTCTGACTTTTTGCTGAATTTGACAAAATGTTTCAGTTGAAAAAAACCTGAATATTTTAAAAAAATGTTTTTGAATTAAAACATTTAGATTTCTCAGTTCAAAATGACTTTTTACTCTGAAATTTACTGCAATGTAATTAAAATAATTTTTAAAAAGTAAAATACTCAAAATTGTTTCATTACAGGTGAATGAAATGTTTCGACGTAATCAAAATACGAAATTTTGTTTGACCTGAAACAAAAAATTTTCAGCTTTTCGGGGCATGGATATTTTTTTGTTTGGGCCGATATGACACAATATTTCCCCCTGATTTTTCAGCATTGCCAGCAAACTGAAAAATCAGTTATTTCTACAGCTCTAGTTACAATCCTCTGACAGAAAAGTTGAAATATAGCTAACAAAAGTCACTTTTCACCATCTACAGCTCTATGCATTTCAAGCTGTTTAGTTACCTTGTTTCTTCCCTCCTTAACTTGGAGGTAAACTTGAAGCTCTCAGCAGGTTGCTCCTCTGACAGTAACATTTGATTACCTGCATTGGTCTTAAGGGCTCACGTCAAGGAATATTAAGCAAAGCCTCCAGTTGCTGGTGTTCCCCACTGGAACAAAATGGAGCTTTCAGTCTCACTTCAATGCCACAAGATGTCCACTAGGAAAGACATATCAGCTAATGGGGCCCAGAGAGGATAGATTTGGAGCTAAACATATCCCGCTAGGAAAATGCGCAGCTGAGAGAACGCAATGTTCCCGTCAACCTTTGAGGAAAATTTCACACAGGGCCAGATCCTCAATTGGTGTAAATTGGCGCAACTCCACTGAAGTCATTGGAATGAGGCTGATTTACACCAGCTCAGGGAGAGGCCCTTAGTGATTAAGGCCCATTGGCTGCCAGATGGATTAGGTTTAAAAACATTTTTAAAAACCAACAACTTTGGATTCACAAAGGAATTTTCTTTTAGCTGGCCTGGTTTTAGTGCTAATTTTTAGCTGTCTATCTCATTTTCTCTTCTAGAGAAGCCTGTCTGTAAGGACAGCCAGCTGTGAGTATCTGAGGTGATAATGGCAAACTCCAGACAAACCCATATTGTTGTCATTCTGTTATTAGGTTTCTTGTACCCACCTCACACCATCGTCTCTCTCCAGCACTGTCTATCATGGTCTCCCCTTGTCCATTAACATATACCAACTAAATGGGATATGCTGGGTTTCTTAAAAACGTTTAGTATTCATAGTTATATTATTCCACACTAAATAAACCAAATGGCCATTTCACTTCTGCAGAAAGCTGATGGTGAAATCTACAAACCTTTATAGTACATCACAGTGCATTACAGTACATGCATAATGAGGCTTGTGAACCCATGAGAAAAAAAAATATGGCCCAATCTGACTATCTCCTGTGAAGTGCTTAATCCCTTTGAAGCCAGAAGAGTAACTGTTCTAGAGATGGGCTTGTAGTCAACAGGAGTTGAGGGTACTCGGCACCTTTCATGATCAAGGCCTCTATGACTGAGATGTCACTACATAGATTTACAGATTAAGACTATTAGGATCATCTAGTTTTATCTTCAAAAGCCAGATCTGAACCTTTTGTCTTGAGGCAATCATAAGAACATAAGATAGGATACTGGGCTATATGGACCTTTGGTCTGACCCAGTATGGCCTGTCTCCCGGCAGTGGCCAATTGCCAGGTGCCCTAGAGGGAATGAACAGAAGAGGTAATCATCAAGTGATCCATCCCCTGTTGATCATTCCCAGCTTCTGGCAAACAGAGGCTAGGGACACCATCCCTGCCCATCCTGGCTAATAGCCATTGATGGACCTATCCTCCATGAATTTATCTAGTTCTTTTTTAAAATCATTTCAAGCATTAACAGTGTGCTGGCAGGTTAAGTGAGTGAAAATTAAAAAAAAAAGGAATGGAGAATGAATACAGGCTGCTTTTATTCTAAAGTAGAGCAGTTGTGAATGCTGAGAACTGAAATAAGGAAATGTTGAACTTGAGGGGTCACATGGTGTCCCCAGTTCAGAGGTGACAGTTCAACTGCGACACGCATGCTGCGTGGCTTGAAGGGATGTAGAAAGCACTGAGTTTATTAGCTGCGTTTTTTTCTTACACATTTGGGGCCTGATCCTGAAAACCATGGGATTCATTTTACACTTGTGTGTCAGACCCCTGTGTGAAAAGTGACATGCATGCCCAAAGGTTTGCAGGACCAGTCCCCTAATGCAGAAAGTCCTGAAAGTCAGATTACCATACTTAGAGATCAGTGGCAAAAGAAACTGGATCATGCTTCAGTGTTTTTCTCTCATAAAGACATCATATAGATTGGGTAATTTCTCATGTGTAGGTGTTTGTGCTTTATTTGTCACAAATTTTTCTTCTTTTTCTTTCTTCTTCCAAATCACACCTATGAGTGGGAGGCACTTCACTTGCAAAACAATTTTCCTCCCATCACATGGAGGTTCATTTTCATTTTCTGGTCCTCAGCAGAATAAGGCTCACAGCACTTGCTATCTCTGGATGCATTTCTCAAGGCTGTGTCCATTTTAATACATATGTTTACTTTCCCTTCAAGCAGAGAAGCTAGGAATGACCAAGAAATCAAATGAACTTCAGCTGGAGACAAGGGGCCAGAGAAAAGGTGAACAGTAGTAGGAGTTACACAGCACAAGCAATTCTGAGCCTAAGCCTAAACTGGTGTAACTTTCTCACTGGGTACAGCTCCACTTCCAGTCCCTTGGTGGGTATGTCTACACTGCAGCTGGGAGTGAGCCACACAACCCAGGGAGACAGACTTGCACTGGTGGGTTTGCGTTAATGCACTAAACTTAGCTATCTGGACGCAGCAGTGGAGGCTTGAGCTAGCCACCTGATCTTGGACCCAGGGAGTAAAGCGGGCTTGAGCTGGGTGAATAGCCAAAGCCTCTGCATTGATGCACTGTCCACACAGCTATTTCTAGCACACTAGTGCGAGCCCTGTTACAAAGGTCCGTCTATTCGGGCTGGGAGGGTTGATCCCAGCTGCAGTGTAGACACGCCCATTGTGGGATTGGAAGAGAGGGATGAAACAGGAGAAAGCAGCTAATAAGAGGGTAGGGGGTGTAAGTTACACTTACCAATACACAAACGGTCTTTCACTGTCTTCTGGCCTTTCAGTGACCAATTTTGCTGTTGGTTACCCCAGTGTAGCCCCACTGATTGATTCAACCGCATTGAAATGAGAGCAGAATTTCGCCCTTTCACTTTTACCATGCTGGAATGCCATTAACCCCAGCCTGGCTACTCCAGATTTACACCGAGGTGAGAGAACTGCAAGTTAGGCAAATACAAAGTCCTTAGGTAAGAGTTTCCCCTGCATCAGAGTTTGTGCTAACTTTGCCCTGAAGCCAGCATAGCCAGCCAAGACAGAGTCATCCCAGCGTAAAGGAATCATCTGTGGGTGTAGAGCTAAAATAGACCTACAGGTGCAGAGGTGTGGTCAGGACACTGCTGTGCCCTGTCAATCACTGGCCTCCCTATCTGTTTTTTTATTTTTGATGAACACACCCCAAGATGCTGGGTGGAGATTTGGGGTTTTCAGTGTGTTTTAATAGGTCCAGTGCACTGGTCTATACATTACAATGATGATAATAATTCTTTGCCTTTTAATGGAAGGATAGTCAGGAACGAATTAAACTAGCCACACACAGAGCAGACCCTGGCAGGTCAGAGAACACTACTGGCAGTGTTTCTTGCAGGGATGTGGCCTTCCCTCAATTAAATGATAGGTTCTCACCTTAATTACATCTTCATCAGACGATCTGCACTCCACGGATTCTAGAAGATCAGTCACGGTCCCATCCTCCTCCACTGAGACCACCTTGACAGGGACAGCCACAGTTTTCCCAGTGAGAATCGCTGTGTTCAGGATCTCAGCTTCCTAAAAGACCAAACAAACCCTTGGTTTAGACGCTTCCACCTCGCCCCCCTTTCTGTCATCAGATGCCAGCTCTCCTCTTCTTCACCTATCCTTATAAAAATGAAGCTTGTGTTAATTTTCCACTGACCTCCCAAGAATTGCTGGCACAGAGGATGGGACAAGGGTACAGTAAATTGCACCAAGCGCAAGGTAACACTTGGGCGTGAAATCCTTGCCCCAGTCAAAACAATGGGATTGACTTCCTTGGGGCCAGGATTTCCATTTACATGTGTCTGATCTCCCCGTATAGAACTCAATAGCAATGCCCAGAACACTGTAGCAATGCAGCACTGTATGATATTAGCCAGGTGCGGTGTTTTAACGCACTGTTGCAGGATAATGAGAGGTCTGTTTTTAAGGGTCTAGCCAGCCTGATGGGGTAGAAGGCACAAAATCATTCTCTTGAGGATGGCTGAGGAGCAGACTCGGGAACCCTGATCTTTAAATTAGTATGAGCCAGTAATATATGGAGCACGTGATGTGTCTGGTCTGACTTGGATGAGTGCTAGATCCCATCACTCAGCATGCCCTCTTCTTTAACCCACTGTTCATTATTAATTATTATTGATATTTATTATTTCCATTATAGTAGCGCCAGGTCCTACTGAGCTTGGGGACCCATTGTGCTATGTGCTGTACACAGAGTGAGAGACAGTTCCTGAGAACGTACAGTTTAACCAGATAAAAGAAATGGAGAGGCAGTGACTTTCCTGAGATCACACGCCTGGCCAATGGCAGAGCCACGGAATAGCATCCAGGTCTCCTGACTCCCAGTCCAGTGCTCTATCCACTGCACATGAATGGCAGTAGCTCTGTGCTTCAAGAGTTTCCCTGATTCTGTACAGAGAACTTCTGGTGACAAACTCCCTTCTGTCATCAGAGCTGTTAGGGTACTCCCCCTTCCCTGATTGCCACTCAGTGAATATCAGTCAGGTTTCAGAGTAACAGCCGTGTTAGTCTGTATTCGCCAAAAGAAAAGGAGTACTTGTGGCACCTTAGAGACTAACCAATTTATTTGAGCATAAGCTTTCGTGAGCTACAGCTCACTATTATATTAGAGGATGACACCCGGAGGAGATTCCACACAGTATGAGCATGCACGTGCCCAGGATTTAGTAGTCGGTACTTTAGGAGACCTCTTCACACTGATCTCAGTTAACAGCCCTGTTGGTCACCTTGTTTTAAGCCTTGTCCTTTAACCATCGGAACCCTGCTCCAGACGGTATTCTGTAGCCACTGGCGTTCTACAAAAACGTCAGAGAAAACAGTGCTTACATAATTAGAGGAAGGATGGTGCAGTGGTAAAGGCACTAGTCTAGAACCTGGGAAATCCAGGATCAATTTCCTGCTTTGCCGAAGACTTCCTGAGTGACCTTAGGCAAGTCACTTAGCCTCTCTGTGCCTCAGTTTTCCATCTGTGAAATGGTGAAAAAACAGTACTTCTGTACCTCCCCTGGGTGTTGTAAGGATAAATACACTAAGGACGGTATGGTGCTCAGATACTGTGCTAATTGGGGCCATATAAACACAGGCAATGAGCCTCAGTCTCCACTGCTCTGCACTTCGTATAGTTGGTTATGCCACAGCAGAGTGAGTTTAAAATGCAACCACTCATATCTGGTGTAAGTGACCACAAAGAGAGCAGGGCAATGGAGAATGAGAACCAGTGTGTCTCGTTCTTAGAGCTTGGGATGGTGAGGCTGGAAACTACCCTGACTCTGCCACTGATTTGCCATGTGACCTTGGGCAAGTTGCTTCACCTGTTTGTGTCTCAGTCTCCCCGTCTGTAAAATGAGGATAATACAGAGCTACCCTATCTCAAAGAGTAAAGCTGTCGGCAAAGTGCTTTGAGTTCTTTACATGAAATGAGCTATATAAGTGAATAATATTATATTATATCACTATTGCCACATTTATTCCAAAAGGAATATTACCTGTTTGATGCATTACTTATACATTTTAAGGATTGTGGTTCAGATTATAGGACTACATTTTGACTCAGAAACACAGTACTAAATTGGGCTCTCGGTTACCCTGGTGTAACTTCATTGTCTTCTCTACAGTTATCCTTGATTTACACAAAGGGAAACAAAGAGCACAATTTGACTCCTGCATTCTTCCATTCCTAATTACAAGGCACTGCTCATTCCTGGAAAGGTTTTGAGCTTTTCAAAACCAGGCCTCTGAATCAAGGAATATCCCATAGAACAAGAGCTCCTTGATTTCAACTGGTTCTTATGAACTAAAGGCTTCCAAAGCCCCCTGAGTGCTAACTTCTCATTATCTAAATAGCTCATGCTATGGGTTCTGAGCCTGACCTGATTTCACTTGTGGAAGGAAACAAAGTACGATCGAAACCACAACGACTCCCCCTACTGTCTCTCAGGGTAGAGAGAGGGGAAGCACCGATCTCTCTCATCTAAACCACGGGGATAAAAAAGGGCTCTTCACACTATTTAAAGGAACAGACACTTTATTTGGGATCAAAGCAGTATCTAAAGAAGGAAAAAAACTCCTACACTTTTGATAGCTACCTTGCCAGAGTCTGCCCCTGCAACCTCATGATCTTTAAGGGGAGCGGGAAATAGAATTTTACAAAAGAACGGTAAAGAAGAAGGCCCCCCCTTTCCCCCAACCAGTCCCCAAACCCTTCCGATATTCTGAAATCACAAGTCACACAAAGGTAAATGTCTCTAAGGACAGACAGTCTGCAGCATGAGGCCCATCAGTCTTGGGCGTAGCGTTGCTCTCAGAACAGAAGATATTTTTCTGGCAACCAGGATCTCCGGGAGGTTTGCAACTAAATTTCCAAATGATTTAATTTTTTTCTTTAATCTGAAGCATCACAGAGAGTCTCCTGCATACTGTATAGATATTTTGCAAACCTTACACCCACTTGGGGGTGGGGAGGCTTCCCCTAACGAGTAGTCCCACCGAAGCCAATGGGACAGCTACTAGGCACATATAAGAGTTGTAGAACCAAGACCTTAGGCCCTGTTTCTGCACTCCCTTGTGCATGTGCTTCATTTCAATAGGACTACTCATGGTAGTAAAGTTACGTTGGCAGAATCCAGGCCTTAGTATTAAGCTGGAACCAATATGTGAGTGGCCTGAGATTTCTAGTCTGTACCGTATAGTGCAGGCCCTAGGGAAGGAGAGAGTTTATACTGAGCTTTTGCAAACAATCTGACTAATGAGATATGCCGCTAAAATGAAAAGTTGCCCCTAGTTAACAGCTAGTGGAGGGCGAACCTCAAAATGTTCATGAGTTTGCTCTGAGAAACAGCTTGCCATTCTAAAGCTTATCAGAACCATATCTGACTCTCTTTGGTCTGCAAAGAATGACTTGGAATATGATGAATATGAAAGCTGATGCCCAAATAAATTTAGTCTAAGGTGCCCCAGGGACGCCTCGTTTTTTATAACATTTCTTCTCACTTCTCAAGTGAGCTAGGAATCCATGGGAGCAGCCTTTTTCTGGATTTCACCACTGGCTGCAGAGAGGTGCTGGCAAAGGAATGTAAAAATGAAAAGCAGCATAAAAAATAAGGTTAATCCGATGCATTGGTAGTTTAGATTTGGATTGAGTTTTGGGTAGAGTTTCAAGTATTAGTGTTATCATTTAATAACCATTTAATAACCCAGAGACATGGGCAGAGCATGAACCGCTGGCTGGGGGAGGCTAATCCAGCCCCACCCCTTTCACCCAAGCCCCCTCCCCCCCCCCCCCGGCCAAAGCCCAGAGCCACCCACTGCAGCCACCGGTCCAGCCCCAGGTGAGTGCCCCCAACCCTGAAACACTGGGCTGACAGCGTGGCTCCAACCCTGGAGTGCCTGGAAGGTGGGCAGCGTGACCCCAGCCTCCCCCCTTCCAGCCCCAGAGTGCTGGCTCCAGCCCCCCACCCCTCAGCCCCAGAGCACCAGGAGGGCAGGCAGCGCGGCCCCAGCCCCAGCCTGAGCCGGGGTCAAGGCACAGGGGAAGAGCAGGAGGGGGAGCGTGAGAGAGGCCACGCCTGGCTGTTTAGGGAGCCCTGCCTCAGGCTATGATACCCACTGCCCATGCCCAGAGTCCAGCTGGATCTGTCCCATGGGGCTAGGTATTGTACAAATGCAAGCGGACCTGGTCCCTACCCCAACTGTATCATAGAATATCAGGGTTGGAAGGTGTCAAGGTTCCTCCCCCACTCTGAACTCTAGGGTACAGATGTGGGGACCTGCATGAAAAAACCCCCTAAGCTTATCTTTACCAGCTTAGGTCAAAACTTCCCCAAGGTACAAAATATTACACCCGTTATCCTTGGAATGGCCGCTACCACCACCAAACTAATACTGGTTACTGGGGAAGAGCTGTTTGGACGCGTCTTTCCCCCCAAAATACTTCCCAAAACCTTGCACCCCACTTCCTGGACAAGGTTTGGTAAAAAGCCTCACCAATTTGCCTAGGTGACTACAGACCCAGACCCTTGGATCTTAAGAACAATGAACAATCCTCCCAACACTTGCACCCCCCCCCGTCCTGGGAAATGTTGGATAAAAAGCCTCACCAATTTGCATAGGTGACCACAGACCCAAACCCTTGGATCTGAGAACAATGAAAAAGCATTCAGTTTTTACAAGAAGACTTTTAATAAAAAATAGAAGTAAATAGAAATAAAGAAATCCCCCCTGTAAAATCAGGATGGTAGATATCTTACAGGGTAATTAGATTCAAAAACATAGAGAACCCCTCTAGGCAAAACCTTAAGTTACAAAAAAGATGCACAGACAGAAATAGTTATTCTATTCAGCACAATGCTTTTCTCAGCCATTTAAAGGAATCATAATCTAACACATACCTAGCTAGATTACTTACTAAAAGTTCTAAGACTCCATTCCTGTTCTGTCTCTGGCAAGAGCAGCATACAGACAGACACAGACCCCTTTGTTTCTCTCCCTCCTCCCAGCTTTTGAAAGTATCTTGT